AATGAAAAACCGTTGGTGGAGGCGAAGCTAAAGCAAATTCATTAGGGAAACTCCATCGATATTACTTAAACCATCCTATATGGCGTAGAGTGGCTAAATTTTTCACTAAAACTTATCATGTACATTTATCTGCCATCTGATCTGTCAGGTACCACCAGCTGAGACCTGAACAACTAAATACACCAACATAAATAATCATTTCATCCCTAGGCCCTACAAAGAATTATTAATCGAAAGGAACTTCTAGATAGGTATACTATTCTAAGGGCCATAACTTCACTTCTTATCTTCATGCCTCCTGTTAAGCCTAGTATTATACCTTTTATCACCACACGTAATTTTAACGACTAATTTCTGTGCCCTCCTCCGCGCCAGTAGTCAGCACCTTATCCGGTACCGCATCTTCAGGCGGAATTTATTCGCCCCATCTCCTTGCACAATCCTCGCATTGTGCCTCCTCATCGAATCTCTTCGTCGAATCACCAAACCACATCCTCACGCCACATCTCCACAAAGAATCTACGCATTCCATCACCATGCCATATCTCCGTGCCGAATCTTTACTCTGCCTCTCTGCACACCATTTTTACAAATAATCTTCAAACAATATCTCTGCGCAAAAGTTATGCTGGCATCACCTCTCCTTATCTCAGCCAGAATCACTTGACCACACCTTTGCGCTGCCTCTCTGTACAGCAGATCGACGCCCCACATTCTCGTCGTTTCTCCACCTACATCTAATTGGCTCATCTATGCTTAGTATATCCACATCGGATCTATATCCCATTTCTTTTCGTTCTTCAACACACATTCTCTCCGTATCACAATTCCATATCCCATCTCTGTTCTGCCTCCGCGCATCATCTTTTCGTCACATTTTTTTAGTTGAACCTCCTCGCTAAATCATCGCGCAGCTTCTCCTCACCACGAATAAACTCTAGCTAGATGTACCTTTTCTTTCAAACGCACCTTCCCGTAGCACCTCTGCGTCTCATTGAATCTTATCGCTGAGCTTCGTCTCCAAGCAGCATCTCCATATCGCCTCTAATTGTCGCATCATACTCCAGAAGCTCTAGTGGCAACTAAGTATTATCTTTAATTAATCTTTTTTTACGGCTAATCTATGCTCGATCATAATGCTTATAAAGCATGGATATTCGCTTTTCTTTCAATAATGCACTTACCGATATATGAAAAAGGAAGCTATTAGCATTGATACCCAGGACGTAAACCTTCATGTTAAAGCCTTTAAGAAAAAATTCTTGCAGCCATAGTCTGTTAGATACGAAGATTTACTGGGTTTCGATGAATCTCTTAAGATAACATTGTTGGGTTTACTTCCATTTCGTAGGAAAGTGCATTGGTTAACCTTACCTGAAGACAACGACCAT